GGGAAAAGCCCCCCCCCCACGCGTCCTGCGAGCCTAGCCCCGTGAGCTGCCAAGGACCCAAATACCCTCCTTGCTGCAGTGCTTGCAGGCCTGACTTGTGGCCAGAAAGGACTGCCAGGCCCCTAGACCTGCCCAGCACCTGTCCCTCTGCCCTCCTTCCTCATGTGTCTCAGTGGCCCACTGTGGGAACCACTGCATCCATATGGACAAGCAGCTCTTTTCTCCCTCGAAAAACTGTCCTTGGCCATGTCCCAGTTTGGATCCTAGGCAGGGCCTCCTTTCTGTGGCATGGGGGACAGTGAGGTGGACCCCCTGACCCCTCTTTTTTATTTAAGTCCAACTTGGTCACATGTTCACATTAGCCTCTGAATGAAATCCCAAAGTGCCGGGCAAGGCGCAGTCTGCCCCTGGAGCCCCTGTGGGGTGGGGTGGGGGTACCTCAGGGTGTGCACCTGCCTAGAGATGCCCATCTCCAGGACTTGGTTTCTCTGGTAACACAAAGGAGCTGCAATAGCCCCCAGTATGGCACACGCACATCACAAACCCAGAGCTCTGGGGTCCAGAGTCATGGTCCTGATGCTGACACCAGGGTGGTAGGACACCTAATCCCTCTGTAAACTGATTGGAGAGGCACGCTTGCCGGCATGGGCTCCAGGCAACACACAGCGGGGCAAATCCTGTGCTTTATTGAAGAGAAGGTGGAGGAGGAAGAGGAGGAGTAATGAAAAATGTTTCCCACAGGAACTGATCTGCAAAAATCCCTCTCAAACTCTCCAAATACTGTCTTCCCAGGGTGGCCTCTGAGACTGCTGCAACTTCTCCTTCCACCCCCGCCTCCCCGCTCCAAGGCCCACAGGTGACCCTCTTTGCCCAAAGGAGTCCTGGACGTCCCACCCCTGGGCTGCTTTCCCCGTCTGGGTTCAGACATCGCTCACTGCTACAGACCTTATGTTTGTGTGTTTTCTCCTTTGAGACCAGAGTTGTTCCTGCAGGTTGATCTACCTTGTGCTTGGCAGACAGTATCTAATAAATGTTGATTGAATGAATGGAGTCTGGGTTTGAAAAAAATGTCTCAAAACCCCAGATATTCTATATCCACAAGAGGACCAGGATGGTGAGTGGGATCCTTGCTAGACAGGCAGGCACTTGGGTTCCCGGGCCCTGGGAGTAGGAATGCATTATAATGAGATTTCATCAGCTCTGATGGAGAACTCTGCAAAGCCATCCAGGGTAACTTTCAGGGCCCTTGGAATGTCCCAGTCGGTATAAATTAATGGTTTGTACTGAGTGCTGTGAGGTCTGTCTTTGCATAGAAGGAGAGAGACAAGCTAAACTGAGATGTATTCTGACTCTGGACTCAGAGGCATTAATTACTTAAATGAATAAGTATTAAATCAAAGGGCTTGCTTCAAAAATTAAACTCAGATTAGCCCTTTGCTCGACTTCCTGTAAAATCAAAAACATTTGGTCAAAGAATGGACACCCAGGAGGGAGTGCTGAGAAGAAAGGCCTAAGTGGCTGACGCGGGCGACTGTGGGGCTGTGGATGCCTCTGGGAGGGGCTGCTGGTCCCTAAGTCCCCAAGCCAGCTACAAGCCAGGGCTGGAGGCCTGCGGAAGGCCAGCCGGGAGGGGCCCAGCAGACAGTTTCCAGGTCTATCTGTGCACCTGAGAGAGTCGAGGCAGAATTCTTGGGCAGCGAGGATTTGAGGTGGAGACAGGGAGGCAGGTCCGGGGTGAGGAGACCAGAGACGTCTCTGGTGCCACGTGGGCCTCCTCAGGCCACATTTGGCCTTTGTCTGGAACCTCAGGGAGCGTTTAGAGGGAGTTCCCTGGTGGTCTTCTGTGACTTCATACCTGGAGGTTAGGGATCTCCCCGAGTCTCCTATTTTACCTTCACAAGACTCACTCCATTCACAAAGTCCTCGGGAATATTTCCAAGATACTGGTCTGATCTTGCTTCGCACCCTAACGTCTCGGCCCACATTACAGAGGCCCAAACACCTCTGTGAATGTCTAAGTTCCAAAGGAGCCACCTCCCCCAGGCAAGCCGCCACTTAACTGCAGCCCTCGGCTGTCCAAGAATATACTCGGATGTCACACATTTTTCAGCCGAGCTGTCCCCGCTTCCTTCTTTACTCACTGTGCCTCCTTTCCCCCAAATCCAGACAGTTACCGCTTCCCCGGAACCCTGAGATCGTCTCCTGCCTCCAGGCGGTACCAGCGAAGGGTGGTTGCCTAGTGCATGCTGGGAGCTCTGTGTTGTTTATCACATGACTGCAGGCAGTGTCACCAAGTATGCAGTGTGCAGGTGGCATTTGTGGCCTAGGTGGAGCCCAAAGTCATGCCTGGGGTGGAGGCAGGTCTTTGTAGGTGCAAGTGGGGAGGGAAGTAGCTCCCCAGGGCCACCCCACATGAGGCTTGGGGACAGTGAGGGTGGCCATGGTGCCCAACAAGGGGGGATGAGAATGGTGAAGGGACAATGGGAGGAGGAAGTCCGGACATAGCAGCAGGGGTCAGAGGCCAGGGCAGGGTCTTTCTAGGGTCCGGGTTCCTTAGTGTGGGTGGCCTGGCTGTTGGGCTCCAGAGCTCCTGGGAGGGGTGGAGAACAACCTCAGACCAGCACTGACCACTGTGCCACTCTGACCTAGGTTTCCAGCTGCACAGCGAGCCGGTGCAGCTTCCAGACCCCTGTGCCGTCAACCTAGGCAAGGTGGCTCTAGCTACCGAAGCTGGGTAGGGTGTGAGCACCATCTTCTCTTCCCCTTGGGACCCTTGGGCCTCTGTCCTGGAAGGCCTGCTGCAGGGAAGGTGGCTAATTAGAACAGAGTGTGCATTAGCATGTGGGCGGACAGGGTGACCTCCCCATCAGTCTGTCTGGGCTTGGAAGCCGGCCTCTGCCCAGGAAGCTGAGTTGTTCGTGGGAGAATTGAAGCCTCTGGGTGGGTCTGAAGGAGCTGTGAGGGTCTGCACCCTACTCTGGTGCTTCTCAAACCCAGGAGGGACACAGCAAACAGCACAACGATGAGACAGTGGGATCCCAAGGAACAGTCAGGACATTGGGCAAAGACCCTAGGGAGAGACCAAGGCAGCTCACAGGGAGGCTTGTTCCCAGTCCTACCTTCTGTCCCCATAGGTGTTTGGGGGCTCCCCACAGGGCTACAGTGGAGGAGCAGCCAGCAAGGTCTAGGCCAGGTGCACCCACTGCTCCCCAGGCATGGTCAGGTGGCCCAGGTAGGGCTGCACCTAGGAGGGGCTGGACATCCTCTGCTCCCTGTTTTCTAAGGCTCCCAGAAGAGGCCTAGAAATACAATATGGGTGGGTGCCTAGGGGGTGAAACACAGGGTCTTGTGCATGTTAGGCAAGGGCTGTATCACTGAGCTGCATCTCCACCATGCTTTTGTTTAAAGATCTTTTTGATTCCTCTGAGAATGTGTTTTTCCTCCTTTCAGGTTTTTTTGTTTGTTAGTTTTTGTTTTTGTTTTTGTTTTGTTTTGTTTTTTTTGCGGTATCCAGGATCAAACTCAGGACCTTGCACTTGCAAGGCAGGCAGCGACGCCACTGAGCTACATCCCTGGCCTTTTCTTCCTCTTTCGAAGGTGTGCCTGCAAGAGAAGCAGATCCTGGTCTCTGTGCTGAGGATGGAAAGAGGCCAGGCGAAGAGTGGGGGCAGCTCCCGGGGAGGGCTTAGCAGAGGCCCTGGAGGGGGCCTCATAAAGGAAGCCCTCCCAGCTCCCTCTTGACCTGCTCCTTCTTGGCCTGGCTCTCCGCAGGACACCATGCCTGGGTGGCTGGGGAGATTCCACCACCCAGCCCCTGCCATTTGGCTCATCAAAGCCATTTTGTCCCTGGCTGGCCCCAATTCACACCTGATTGCAGGTCAGTGAACAGGCGGAGGAGCTGAAATGGGTTTATGATGGGGCAGGGTGGGCGGGGCACTGGGGTCCTGGCCCCCGGGAAGCCGGAGCCAGCAGAATTGGCACCTTTTGGAACTGCTGTTGGGACCCCCACTACAGGTCCCCTCCTGCCCCACCCCCACCAGCAGCAGTCAGGAGTCCCCCAGAGGCGGCTCCAGGATGCAGGCCTGGGACAGGGCTGGGGGTGCCAGGGGTGCCGGGGGTGCCAAGGCCCTGACCCCTTCCCAGTGCCTGCCCCAACCCTGCTGGTCTTACGGGATGGCTAGAGTGGTCAGATGGCATGCCAAGGCCTGAGCTTATCGCCCTGGCTGTCCCCGTGCTATGGCGTTCCCCATCTGCTCTGCCCCTCCTAGGTCAAACCCCCACCAGCAGTTCAATTATCACCTCCCCAGGTAGGACTTCTGGATCTTCCTGGCTGCCACTGCCTTGAGGACGGATTGGAATGCTGTGGCTGTCCTGCCCCCGCCATCTTACAGGGATTGGCCATGCCCTGCTGCACTCAGAGGGTCCCGGTGGGGGTGGGCGCCCCAGAGAACCAGCCTCTCCTTGGGGTTGTCCTCTGGGCTGTGGTGACCCAGGCTCTGGTACAGCTGAGGCTTCCGTGGCAGATGCGAGAGGCCCAGCCTGCGGTCCCCATGGCTGCCGTAACTAACGACCACAAATGTACCAGCTTTCAACACGAGTGTCTTCTCTTCCTGTCTGGAGATCAGAGTGTGGGCAGGCCTGCTTCGCAGGGCTTCCGGGAGACCCCACTCCCTGCCTTTCTAGCTGTGGGAAGAGGCTGTGCTGCCAGGCTGGAGTTGCCCACAGAGTTCCCATCCTTGCCTCTGTGCTCACAGCTCCCTGATCCCCTACTTCCTTCGCATAAGGAGCCCTGTGATCACATGGGTCCGCCAGGTAATCCAGGGTCATCTCCACCTTGAGGTCCTTGAGGTCAGCACACCCGCAAAGGTCACCTCAAGGTCAGCACATCTGCAATGTCCCTTTGGCCATGGGAAGTCACGTGGGCACAGGTAACAGGGAGTGGAGGTGGTCATCCAGGGCGGGGTGACCCATTCCACAGGCCGTGTCCATGTCCATCCTCTCTGGTGTTTGGAGCCCAGGAATGAGGGCTGTCCAGGCCGGAAGCCTGGCCTCGGGGCTGTTCCTCATTGCCGGACACTGCAGCGAGTCCCTTAGTCCTCAGAACAGCTCTTGGTGGGGGTACCAGCCTCACTGCAGCAAGAGCCATGACCACAGCAAAGCAGCAGAGAACACGGGTTCTGGGCCAGCCAGGGGAGGGAACAGCCGAGCCCCCATCTGTGACCCTCTGGTCTTGGCTTTAAACCTCACTTTCTTGGCATTTGACTCACACAGGGAAAAGAGCACAGCCCCTGGTGTAGGCTCTGTGATTTTCCCCCCTGTTCAGCAGCAGAGTAACTACAGGGCTCCCCCGAATCCTGGCATGTGGTTCTTAGGGGTCTAGTCACAAACCAAGCCAGCACCTGGAAGCCCCGGCTACACCCAGGGCTCCCCCAGGCCCGCCAAACCATCCTGACTTCCCACAGTCCCTCTTCTTTGAGGGCCAGGTGGTTTCACCTCTGCACTGTGCTTCTCATAGGAGGGCTCTGCAATTGCTCATCTGTTCAGCTACCCACAAGCTCTTAGCACCAAGCTGTGGGAACCATTTCAGCACAGCTCGTGGGGTGAGGGGAAGCATTTCCCCTGGGGATGAGCCCAGAGTGGGGGGACATATGAGCTTTCCCTCCCTCCTTTTCTTGTTTTATTGACATATAATTAACACACCATATAACTCACCCCTTTAAAATACACAATTCACTGTTTTAAGCATAATCGAAGTTGTGTCAACATCACCACAATTTTCGAACATTTTATTGGAAAAGAAACTCACTGGACAAGTGGTGCACGCCTGTAATTCCAGGACTCTGGTGAGCTGAAGCAGGAGGATCACAAGTTCAAGCCCAGTCTGTGCAATTAGC